GCCCTCAAAAGCCAGCTTGCTGGGTGTTCAGCAGTGACCTGCGGCTACTTCTGAGGGTCTGATTTAAGAATAACACTCTCGAACCTGTCACCCAGGAGTGGGCACCACACCGCAGAACAGGGGGTGTGGAGGTGCAGATGGGTCACAGGCAGAGCACCCTGATGGCTGCAGGGGTGATGCTCCCCAGCTGAGGAGACAGCCAAGGCTGGGGCAAGCCTGGCTAGTCCAGTCAGGAACACGTCTCCTCTTCCTTCCTCCTGCGACCGGGCCTCACATTGGCTAGTACTTCCTCCTGATTTGTTCAGAAACAGGAGGAAAGGCTTCTTAGGAGAGCATCCTTTGGGCTTGGCCTGAAGTCCTGACCAGGCACTGGCTGCATTCAGAGGGGTGGGGTGGGCTCTGTGAGGCTCCACTGACAGAGCTGTGCAAGGTCCAGTGTGACAGCCATTTGCGCAGGGAAGTCTGGGAAAATACGGGATCGGCAGGCATCGTGTACTCTGTGCAGTAGGTCTTAGCTCAGGGAAGCCCATCCTCAGCTCAGTTTAGTTTATAAGGCCCCCAAATAAAAGAAAACTCTTATAAATGGTTGCACTTTCAGATGCACAGGCTTTTGTTTCCTGAGAGTTCTTTTGCATCTCAAACACGAAGGTTCTTGAGCAAGTCTGAGTAGCTATAGACAAAAGTTTCTTTCTTTGGATAGATTAGGGTTAAAAAATGTACAAGAAGATAAAATAGTTGGGCAAATTATTACTGATTCAAACAAACTGTCTCAATTTAGCTTAAAGCAGACACATCACAATGAAACTATAAGGACTTAACAAGTGTGAGATTCAAATGAAAGATCCAGTCGAGAAGTGGGTGAGAGAAATGAACAGAACTTCACAGAAGAAGAGCTGCAACTGGGTCAGCAGATGCAAGAAGAGGTGTTCCCTGTCCCTGGCCACTTGAGAAACATGAGTTAAAGCAACACCGAGGTTCTGTCTTATTATAGAAAGGATGGCAATCATTAGGAAGTCAATAACAGACGCTGGTAGGACTGTGGTAAAAAAGGACCCCTCCAACACTCTTGGTGGGAATGCAAACTAGCACAACTATTATGGAAATCAGTGTGGAGCTTTCTTGAAGAACTGAAGTTAGAAATTCCATGTTACCCAGAGACGCCCTGTATATATTTCCCCAAAGAGCTTAAGACATCATACTGCAGTAATACTTGCATGCTGATGTTTACAGAAGCACAAAGCAGGCTGTACACCCATCAGCAGATGACTGAACGAAGAAAATGTGACCTGCTATGCTACTTGCTATAAGGAATGCCACATCTGACATGTCTGTAGGAGAGTGGCTGCGCCTGGAAAGTGTAATATCGAGTAAGACAAAGCAGACGCACAAGCATGCCTATCCTATGATAGCTCTCATCTGAGTGAGCAATGCACAACCGAAGAGAATGATGCAGGAGTGACAGTAGGGCACAAGGGGACAGATCCCTTGAGCAGGGACGGTCTGAAGGAACTAGGATGAGTAGGGGGCGCAGAAGGGGAAATAATAAGGAACCTAATAAGGCTGCTAATGTAGCTGCTGTGTGCCCGAACGTGAATCATGACAGGCAGTACAAGCAAAAACAGAAAAGCCGATGGAGGGGGCGGGGAAAGAAGGAAAGCAAGCTGAGGTATGTATGTGTGTCCACGCCCACCCCAAGAACTGCAAACGTACTAATAACATTTCTACAAGAGTGTGCAGTTTAACCAGCCCTGAGCCGTGTTTACCTTCAGGACCAGCACACAGGAGATTTCCACAACCTTCATTATCATCATCTCTGCCAGCGGGAATTTGTTTTACGGAAATAATTTAGATTTTCATCTCTGGATTCTAGGTTCTAAAGAGGTCCTCCAACCCATCCTTCTGAATCACTTCCCAGGTGCAATAGTTTGTTTTACTTAATAGGTTAGCAAATAATTGCTGTGGTTATTATAATCTCGCTGGCAGCTGCCCCATATGACATTGCAATAAATGCTTTTAAGTGACCCACACCTCTCTTTCTATTAGTGCAAAGGGAAGACGGGGAATGTGGGGACATAAAGCAGCTGACGGGGTGGCTGAACCTGCGACTTGCTTACTAGAAGAAGAAATCACCCTTTGTAACACCTCTGCAGGTGTAAAACAGTTCATTTTCGGTACCCACTTCTGTACAGTGGGAACCCCCAAGACTCCATGAACCTTAGCTCACCCTAGTGACAGCTCACCTCAGCAACAAGGTCTCAGACCCTGATTGGCTTAGAACATGCCAATCAGCAAATAGCACATGACCCTTCAACGAAGGCTCAGGCCCTGATTGGCTAGAACCCCTGTAAGTGTGGCCAGAGCAAGGACACATGTTGAAAAGTTCACTCAGACTCCTCTCTGTCTCTGCGTGTAGCAGCGCAGCTTTGTCTGCAGCCATCATTGTCTTAAGAATAAACCTGCATTTCCTACCACTCTCTGTTCTTCACACACCAGACACCTCCATTTTCCATCTGGGTTGGAGTCAGGGTCCCCCACTCTTGCTCCTCACTGGGAGGTGGGGTGGGTACAAGGTCCCCAGGGCCCAGCCTCCGAGTCTCCCCGGCTTCTTGGGATGGTGTGGAAAGTTGGTGTTAGTGCACACTTGTGAGTGCTGGTAAGTTCTGGGTAACAGAATGCAGTCGTGGTTTGAAAAAGGACAGAACCTAAGTAATTCAGACTCTGTCTGGGATTATGGAAATTCTGAATTGTAGAATATTTTATTTTAAGCGAAGCTGGTTGCACTAATTTATTCACTGATCTTAGGTTGAAATCATACTCAAATTAGTACAGGATGAATTGATAGTGTTGATGCTATTAACAGAAGTGGCATGGTTTTCAGTTTGCATAACTCAGAACACCAGTGTTTATTGCCTCCAAGTAGAATTTATGACAGCACAAACAATAACTGTTTTGAGTGACGCAGTTCCATCACTCCCCAACAGGGATGTCCAGGATCTTCTGTGACATGGTAGGAAAAGACCCTCGCGCCACACAGCAGCCCACAGCCTGGTTGCCCAACCCGCCCATGCCAGGATAGAGAGACGAAACAAGACAGTTGTTGGGGAGCAGTCTGGGCTCGGGCCAGGGAGGACAGGACTGTCAATCCAAACACAATGCATACTAGAGTAAAAATTAAAGTCTGGCTGGGAAGTTGGTGACGGAGGTAAGGCCTCTTCCAGGAATCTGAGAGTAAGGCTGCAGCCCCCCATTTTGCTCCACAGTTAGAGACCCAGGGAGCGAGTTGCACAGTGAACATGGCAGCAGGAACCAAAGGGCCTTGGGAGCAGTCCGACAACCGCTTGCTGACAAGGCCCCTCAGTTGTAACCAACTCTTTCAGTTCTAATTTCATGCTTCTCAAATTATTTCCGATTGTGAATTGGCTTCCTGTTCAGTTTAGGCTTAAAGACAGCACTTGGGCTCCTTATGCAGATTTAGTTATTCCAGTGATTTTCTATCACAAGTAAATAAAAGGACATTCTGACCTTCACACATCAGTTTCTTAAGCTTGGTTAGTGGAAACCCCACGGTCAAATGCATCTACTCTCTGTGTTGGAAGTGTCTGAGGAATGACAGGTTTCAGAGTGGTGTGGACTCCCCAGTGTGGCCTCCTGCTGTCTTCTGTCCTCCTGGCCGGCAGCCAGAGACATCTGCAGAGTTGACGCTGCTTGAGCTTTACAGAAATTACAAACTGGTGTGGACACAAGACGAGGGCTTCTGACCCCCGGACTGTGGTGGTGACAAGAATGATAAATGTGACCTCCGGCCCCTTGGAAGTGCTGCTGCTTCTCCCTGAGTGGCAAGCTCTTCTCTACTGTGGAATTTCCCCTGGAAAATTTTCCCAAGCCACTTTGTCCCCTTTGAATGGAGCTGTGTGCTGAAGTCTCGGCTGCGCACTTTAGCGCGTGATGGGGTGAGGGATGTGTGTCAGTGCTGGGAAGGACTCAGTGACGGCGTAAGCCAGCTGCACCCCAACGTCGAAGGTGGAGGCGCACAGGAGGAGCGCAGAGCCCTGTGCCAGCACTACCACTGGCGGGCGCGCCGCGGTCACCCCGCCTGTGTCTCCTGCCAGTGTCCTACGCTGGTTCCCTTTCTGTCATTCAGTGGGGAGACTCGGAACTGAGGCAGAGACCTGGTTCCGGGAGACCCCTAGGTGCTCAGCTCTTAAACCACTGGGGTCGGCAGCTTGAGGCATGCGGCGGCAGCGGCAGGATGGAATTACAAGGCACAAACGGTGGACGGGGAACTGGACAGTGCGCTCATGGATGTTGCATCTAATTCTCATTTAAGCAGAAGGTTTCAACCTCCACTACTAAGATGGGAGAAAATTGCTTCCTATTAAGGCAGTGATCCGACTCCTGTGCATGTTCTGTCTCTGAATGTAAGCCTCTCTTAATTAATAAGCAGGTCACAATCTCGGGTCCCTTTCCTGTGGAATGACTCTTGCCCCGTACTTCTCTTTTATGGTCAAGCTTCCATTTTTGACTTAGAATCGCTGGCTCTGTGCATGTGACGTAAGATCTTTGGGAGCTCACACTTCACTCCTGGCCCCAGTGCTTTCCGAAGGCTGGGTAGCTTCCGAGGTGAGTGACACGCCGAGGATGCCCAGCGCGGCCGGCCCCAGACGGGCTGGCGAACGGGGCCTCTTCTGGCGCTCGGGAGGAGGCAACACAGCCTGCCCACCCATTTCTGGAGAGGCTTTCTTGAGGCCTTTCAGGTTTGCCTCAGTATCGGGTCTTGTTCTCTGTTTTAATCAGATGTTAATGCTTTATTTTATTTTAATTTTTTTATTTTTTGCCCCAAATGCCTTCAGGGCAGGTTTGGCTGGCTTGAGCTGTGGGGATCAAACCACAGCAACCTGAGCCTGACTGCTTTGTTGAAGCAGCCACTTAAAGAGCTGAGCTAAGGGGCAGGCCCCCTGTTAATGCTTTAATATTCATGATTTATTTTCCAATTCTTTTTTCAAAATATGAAATACTTAACAAATATGTGAGTTATACTTGTGCAGGGGCCATGCTAAGCTTCTCTGGATTGTTCCCATTTTAGTCCTTGTTCCGCCAAAGAGGGCATTATTTTCCATCCTCGAACAGAACAAGGGACTTGAGAATTGGCCTTCTGTGCATAAGGCTTGCAGGCCTGTGAAGTGCCAGTGGTACACTGGTGAGTTTTAGCAGGGGCCTTGGTGCTGGGCCAAGGCCTTGGAGGTGGCTCTGGTGTGAGGTCCCACCACACTCTCACCCTCGCCAGTAGGCTGGGACACAGGTGCAAGTGTTCTTGTCACAGGAAACTCAAAGGATACTCAAGGTGTGTTCTCTGCTTCTGCTATTTGTTCCAAGCAAGTGTGACGTTTGCCATTGCAGGAAATGGACAGAGAGGGTAAGTAATGTGTAAAATTCCATTTTGGTTATTTCCAGGCAGTAAGTAGACACAACACAACATCTCTCTGTTTAATGGCGGTACGCCTGGTGAGTTTACTCGAATCTTCTGATCACTGGCAACACAGAGACAGTCTCGTGGTATGGTAGGGGTGATGAGAAGCTCCAGGCAGCAGAGGTCCCAAGAGCCAGCAGTCCCTGCCCTTGCTTCTCTGTCCCTCCTGCACAGACACAGGAGGCAGTTGGTATCTGCTGTATAGCAGCTGTGGCTCGTGGAAGCATTTTGCCACTTTGGGCTGGGTCAGCAGCACTAGTTCATTTCTTACAGTAAGCTTGCATTAGGATTTCAGTATTTTAGAGGAGAAATAATTTCAAAATCAAGTAGTATTTATTGTCTCTAAATTGTGTATTTAAAACGGAGAAGAATTAATGAAATTAATGTAAACTTTCTTATAGTTGCCATCATTTTATAATTACCTCTGAACCTCCTAGCTCTGATTCAGCTCCCTCAGCCTGCTGGCACGGGTCCTTCCTTGGGCTGGCATAGGCTTTCCAGCTTCCACCACTGACCTGGGGCCTTCCCAGCACAGAGCTCTGAAGGGGTCCTGCATGATGCTTGCCGTGCACTCTGGGCCTGGCTGGACTAGTGGCAGCCACTGATACGAGCTCCAGGTTTTCAGCTGGACTCCTGCAGGACTCTAGGATCCAGGCCCTCAGCTCGAGTCCCTAGGGTTTGTGTGCACGTATTTCCGCACTTCTGGTATGTGATTCTTGGGCGATTCCTTATAAAATACTATTATAAAATGTGTCCTGTATTACATTGATCTCTTTGCAAAAACTCCAAACCATGACAAGGGCCACCTTTCATGGGCAGCTGATAAGCGCCGGCAGTGGCCTGTGCGTCCCCCTTCAGCCTGCTCCCCGGTTGGCTCAGGTAGGTCGTAGCACTCAGCTTGTTCTCCAGAAGACCTTAGCTGGGCCGCCTTAAGGGGTCACAGCACGAGTGGGGCCTCCCGGCCCGGGGCCAGCGGAGCCTGAGGCCGAGCTCCCCTTCTCTCCGCTGAGGAGCAGGCTTGGCGGCGTGCACCTGCGTCTCCGTGGCAGACTGCTGCTGCGCAGAAGCAGGGCCGGCGTCTGGCTCGCACGCTGGACTGAGAGCCTCTTCTGAGTCCGCTGTTCCTGCGCTAACGTTCACAATTGGATTATGTGTGAGACTGTCCTACTTAGCAGCCGTATTCACTCTTGCTGTTAGTTATAAGAAGCACGTGTGCAGCCAGTGGGTGGGGGCTGGGTCTCTTTTGTATCGTACAGTATTACCATGTTAGACGTAAGAAAAACACTGAGAACTAAACAGAACGGAAAGGCCTTCATGCTCAGCTTTATGTAACTCTAATTTTTAGAGTTGAGATGAAACGTGCATTGTAGTCATGGGCTCAGACATCCTCTTTTTAGGACCACCTTACTAAAACCTTGCGCGTGCTCATAAGAGAAAGGAGTCAACCACGTGGCACGGCGGCTTCTCATTTTCAGCCCACCACAAGTTCGCTGCTGCTTCTCGCCCAGAGTTCGGTGACCTTCAAGTGTCACAAAGGGGAAGCAGGCCCTGAAGGACTGACCAGGTCTGGACCCCCTTATTTCGGGTGGCTTGTCCAGGAACCGAGGAGGTGACTGCCCTGCGGGCCTGGGCGAGCAGGGGTGGAAGCCCCGTTGGGGCGCGCGCTGGCTGCGGTAACCGCGGGGGCGACCCGGAGCTGCTCCTCCCTCGCCGCCTGGGCCCGGCTCTGGGAGGGATCAGAACGGGAGTGGCCGGGGACACGGTGGTGCGAGGCTGGGAGGGCACCGGCACGTCCCCTCGCCCTACAGAAGACAGTCAGTCGTGCGGTGCGCCCGCCTGCAAGCACTGCGTTGACCTCAGCCACTTCTCTCAAGAGCCGCAAGACCCTGCAAAAGACCTGACTTCTGTAGCCTGCTTCCTCCGTGAAAGTGTGGTGCTCTAAAACATAGACCACGGAATTGCTGCCCTGAGTCCCCCACAGCTCAGCATAACAGCATGGCTTTACTTCTTATATTTCGTTTTTATACTTTTCTGCTGGATGGTTCAGACCAAGGTAAAGCAGGACCTATGCAACAAGAGTTGTAGCTTTTGGGTCTGATAGGGTCAGTGAAATCCCCTCAGGATTTATCCTGAGATCCTGTACCTCAGATTGTAGAACCTTTGTCGGTGTCAGCCATGTGGATGAGTCACGGCCATTGCTTGGCCAATGTGCTCTCTGTGAAAGCCTGAGAGAGTGTCTTCTCTCCATGTGACTCTCCTTAGGCACACTCTACATCATCTATCACTTTCCTCTTTGGCTCCATGATCTCCTTGATCTCCCAATTTCAGAAAATTTGGGACACTGCTGAGTTACATGACGTTACAGTACAAGTTCTCATATGTCCTGAGTCTTAATTGACCTTGGAAGGCTAGGGCCAAAATGTTGGCTTTCCTTGCAGCCCTCCTTTTTCTCTAATTTTGGTCTGCAAACTTAGGTTGTTAACGCTCCAGAAGAGAAGCTTATTGTTATTACCATACAACGTAGGCTGTTAAGCTTAACCTCACTATCTGTCTGAATATCAAACATCTTAGGCATAACATGGAACAGGTATCTTTCATCAAGTATTGATATGTGAACTTTAAGTCCCTGTAGTATATGATGAAAAAACATTTAAAAAATTAAAGCGGAAGACCCAATGCTATTATGGACTACTGGACTCTTTTGGAATATTTTGCTGAGTTGACACACCTATAAGATTCAAATGATGGAACTTAACAAAAAAGGGAATAAAGATGAATGTCCATTTTGTATCTGTGTATTCAAAATGGTTAGGATAGATATATAGTTACATTCTCTTAATGAATAGAGGGATTTGTTCTAATGGTGTTTGTAAATAGGATATCATGTCCGCATCTTGTACAGCAAATAACCACTAGGAAGAGAGTATGCAATGTGTTAATTATTGGAACTGTCCTACCAATTTGATTTGAAACTGTCTCATTGCTATTTGTTTCTCAATAAAATTATGGAAAAAATTAAATTAAAAGTAAATAAAACTAAATGTGAGCCAATGTTAAAAAAATAAAATATAGGCCATGGATCAATAGTTGTCACCTCTTATATCCTTTCTTTATTTCATGCTTTGTGCCTTTTCTCCTTTTTCATACTGGCAAGAGAATTAGAACTCATGTTGCTTCTTCTTGTGAATTTTAAGGGTGATTATTGGGCTTTTTTTCCTTTTTTTAAATGTAAAATTTTTATTTATTTAGTATGGGGTTGCATGGTGCAGCTCGCTTGCCCAGGCTTCTGGGGCTGGCATGGCATGCGGTACCGGGATCAAACCTTGGGCTTGCCAGGCAGGTGCTTAGACTGCTGAGCTATCTCCCCAGCCTTGTTGTGCTTTATTTCTAAGTGTGTTATTTAGTTATTGTTATAAATCAATTCCCAATCTTGTTATTTTGAAAACTGTGTGCACCTAGGTGAAGATGTCACTCATGCCAATTCAAAGTGAGCTAATGTCGCTATGCCACTCATCCCATTGGTTTAGCTACCTAAGCATATCACTGCCTTCCTCTACTGAGAGCCAGTGAAGAACCCCGGAATCCGCAGTGTGGAGCGACTCGGGTGCTTAGCACAGGAGCAGCTTCGAGACGGTGGCGTGCAGTGGAAGGGTGGCTGTCTTTCAGTTCTAGCACAGTAACTTGCAAATGGGAAGTGAAGTTATCAATGGCATGCTTTTCCACTTCAAAGCTTCTTGTGGTCAAAGAAGTCCAAAGATAGTGGTATTTTTCTTTTGTGTCCTGCACAGTACTTGTAGAGTAGGTGCTCAATAAACGCTCCTAATGAGCTGCATTTCCATGACAGATAGTCCAGCTCTCGGCCGCCTGTCTAACCAGCATCCACGGGTCATACAGTGTGGATGTGGTGCTGCCAGCTCTGGGAATTCCTCACGCAGGGAGCCTCTCCCTGGGAGAGCCTCTGTTCCAGCCCTAGGCAGGGCACCGGTTGCTGAGCTTTTGAGCTGTTCATCAGGAGCACGCCTGTGTTCCACAGAACTTAGTGTGCCATCGTTTTATTTTCCTGAGTTGGCTGTTTCTCCTGGCCCTCACGACTCTGGTGGCTGGAGTCCTGCCTGATTTCTTCTACGGCCTTTGCACAGAGCTCTCCCAGCCACTGCTGGTCCCAGTGCCTGTGTTCCTTCAGGCTCCTGAGCTGCTCTGAGCAGCGTCTTCCTTCTCGCCTGGTGGGGATCTGTCCACCTGCAGGTGCTGAACCCTCCACCCCACTCCCTGCAGCTCACTCTGAGTTTACTCCATTATTTCCCTGAAACTTCACATTTAATCCTGTTCTCTCCTCTTTATTCTAATTCTTTATTAATATATATGCTCTGTAGGTTTCTGATGTAAGAGCAATCATGCGACATTGAACTTCCTGGGTCTGGCTAATTTCATTTGACACAATGGTTTGTAGCTCCATCCATTGTCACGAGGGTGGCGTGGCCCTGTTCTCTGTGGCTGAACCATTGGGCTGACGTGCTACCTTTCCTTATTCACTGAGCCGTCGTGGACGCCCAGGGGGCTTTCTCACAGCAGAGCTATTGGACTTGGCTGCTACCCACATGGGTGCTCCTGTACCGCTACAGTATGCAACCCTTCATT